TAGTATAGTTTGAAGTCTGGTAAATTGATACCTCCTATTTTGTTTTTATTGGCTAGGATTGATTTTGCTATATGGGGTCTTCTCTGGTTCCATATGAAGCGTAAAATTATTTTTTCAATATCTGTGAAAAATGATGATGGTGTTTTGATAGGAATTGCATTGACTCTGTAGGTCACTTGTGGTAGTATAGACATTTAACAATGTTGATTCTGCCGACCATGAGCATGGTATATTCTTCCATCTGTTTACGTCCTCTGCTATTTCCTTCTTCAGTGTTTCATAGTTCTCCCTGTAGAGGTCTTTTACCTCTTTAGATATATTCCTAGGTACTTTATTTTCTTTGTTGCTATTTTGAAGGGAATTGAGCCTTTGATTTAGTTCTCACTTGTACTGTTGTTGACATATATGAATGCCTCTGATTTCTGTGTATTGATTTTATATCCTGAGACTTTACCAAATGCATTTATCAGTTCAAGGAGTCTCTTGGTTGAATCCTTGGAGTTTTCTAGGTATAATATCATGTCATCAGGGAAGAGTGAGAGTTTGATCTCTTCTGCTCCCATTTGGACGCCCTTAATTCCGCTCTCTTGTCTGATTGCTGTAGCAAGGACTTCCAGCACTATGTTGAACAGAAGTGGAGATAGTGGGCATCCTTGTCTTGTTCCAGTTCTAAGTGGGAATGCTTTCAATTTTTCCTCATTCAGTATGATATTGGCTGTGGGTTTGTCATATATGGCTTGTATCTTTTTTAGGTAAGCCCCGTCTATGCCTATTTTGTTGAGTGTTCTTATCATGAAAGGGTGTTGAATTTTGTCAAATGCTTTTTCTGCATCTATTGAGAGGATAATATGGTGTTTGTTTTTGCTTCTGTTTATATAGTGAATTACATTTATAGATTTGCATATGTTGAACTATTCCTGCATCGCTGAGATGAAGCCCACTTGGTTATGATGGATTATTTTCTTCACCAGCACCTGGATTTGATTGTCTAGGATTTTGTTGAGAATTTTTGCATCTATATTCATAAGGGATATTGGTATGTACGTTTCTTTTTTTGTTGGATCCTTTTTTGGGTTTGGTATCAGGGTTATGTTCGCTTCATAAAACGTGTTGAGGAGGATTCCATCCTTCTCAATGTTGTGGAATAATTTCTGCAGGATAGGCACCAGTTCTTCCTTGTAGTTATGGTAACATTCGGGTGTGAAACCATCTGGTCCAAGATCTTTGTTTTTAGGAACGTTTTTTATTGTTTCAATTTCAGTACATGATATTTATCTGTTTAGGAACTCTATTTCTTCCTGGTTGAGCCTAGGGAGGCTGTGTTTTTCTGAGAAATTGTCCATTTCCTCCACATTTTCCAGTTTGTATGCATAGAGGTTTTTGTATTATTCATAAATTTTATCCTGTATCTCCGTGGCATCCATTGTAATTTCTCCGATATTATTATTTCTCTTGATGGAGCTTATTAGAGATTTTTCTTTTCTGCCTTTTGTTAGTCTAGCCAAAGGTGTGTCAATTTTGTTTATTTTTTTCAAAGAACCAACTTTTTGTTTTGTTAATCTTCTGTATGGTTTCCCTGTTGTCAATTTCGTTAGTTCTGATTTGATCTTAATGAATTCACTTCTTCTGCTGGCTTTGGGGTTGGTCTGTTCTAATTTTTCCAGCTCTTTGGGACGATTCATTAGGTTGTCTATTTGTGATCTTCTAGAGTGTTGGATATAGGAATTTATGGAAATAAACTTTCCTCTCAGGACTGCTTTAGATGTGTACCACAGGTTTTGATAACTTGTGTCTTCTTTGTCATTTAGTTCAAAGAATCTTTTGATTTCCATCTTGATTTCCTTATTTATTAAGTGATCATTCAGCAGAAGTTTGTTTAGTTTCCATGACTGTGTAGAAATGAGAGTTCCTGTTACGGTTGATTTCTACATTTATTCCATTGTGATTTGAAAAGATACATGGTATGATTTGTATTTTTTGAAATTGTTTGAGACATGCTTTGTGTCCTAGGATATGGTTAGTCTTAGAGAATGACCCATGAGTTGAAGAGAAGAACATATATTCAGTGGTTTGGGGGTAGAATGTCCTGTAAATGTCAGTCAGGCCCATTTGTTCCAGAGTTCTGTTTAAGTCCATTATTTCTTTGTTGATTTTCTGTTTGGAGGATCTGTCCTATGCTGTCACTGGGGTGTTAAAGTCTCCAACTATTATGGTGATGTTATTTATCCATTTGTTTAGATCAAGTAGAGTTTGCTTTATGAATCTGGGTGCACCTAGGTTGGGTGCATAAATATTTAGAATTGTTATGTCTTCTTGTTGAACTGTACACTTCGCCATTATATAGTGACCTTCTTTGTCTTTTATTACTTTTGTTGATTTAAAAACTAAGTTATCTATAATCAGCACTGCCATGCCAGCTTTCTTTTAGCTTCCGTTTGCTTGAAATATTGTTGTCCACCCCTTTACTTTTAGTCTGTATGCATCCTTGCAGGTTAGATGTGTTTCCTGAAGGCAGCAGATACTGGGCTTGTGTTTTTTAATCCACTCGGTCAGCCTATGTCTCTTGAGTGGGGAGGTCAAGCCATTTACATTTATTGAGATAACTGATAGGTGGGGAAGATTTCTGTTCATTATGTTGGGTTGAACTTTGTTGCTTTGTTTTCTCTCTTGAGCCATTGTGGTATCTGGGCTTCGATCTTTAGCTTTTAGTAGATTTACATTCGTGAGTATTTATTGTGCTGATCCATGAGTAACACTGTTTTGAATACTTCTTGAAGAGCTGGTCTTGTCTTGGTGAATTCCCTCAGTCTTTGCTTATCTGAGAATGTCTTGATTTCTGCTTCATATACAAAACGTAGTTTTGCAGGGAATAAGATTCTAGGCTGGGCATTGTTCTGTTTCAGAAGAGTGAGAATGGGGCCCCAGTTTCTCCTTGCTTGTGAAGTCTCAGTAGAGGAGTCTGGCATTATTCAGATTGGCTTTCCTTTGTATGTTACTTGCTTATTTCGTCTTACAGCTCTTAGAAGGGCCTCTTTAGTTGATACTTGATTTTTTGTGTTTTATTTGTGTTGGGTATCCAGTTTTTCTTGCAACTTGTTGAATTTTCTTATGATCTACACTCGAAATTCTTCTGTCATTTTAGTGGTCTGGTTTTGGTTGGTGTCCATTTATAAGGGGCTGGTGTTCCTCTTTGGGGGTGTGCTTTCCATTTGAGTTTTCATATTTCTAGAGTTCCTTCGCTGATACCTGCTCATCTGGATTAGTTGTTCCTTCTTTCCTTTAGGTTTTCATTTGGGTAATGAAGCAGTCTGTTTAATCTCTGAGCCAGTAGGTGGTGTTTGTGGGTGAGATTTGACCACACCTGTATGATGAGTCAGTAGGTGCTGTGAAAAGGGTATGCAGAATGTCCTCCCTGTCAGTAGGTGGTGTTGTTCGGAGGAGCTGTTGTTTTTGTGTCCTGTAACCAGCTCTTGTTCCTCTGGAAAGGCACTCTAGTGCCTCAGGTGGTGAGTGGGACTCAGGGACTTCCAGGTGTGTCCTTATTCTATACCACAGTGAGGACTAGTCTGGGAGTGAGCCTGGGCGGAGCTGGGTTGGTGAAGCCTGCCCTCAGATACCACCAATTCTGTTAGCGGGGTCAAAGTTCTGTTCTCTACTTATGGGAAAAGCTGTCAGGAAGGGGCTGGAATGGCCCCACTCAGTCAGAAAGTCTCCATGTGGGGTGGGACCCTCTGATTCCTGCAGGCCTCACTCCTTTCCACCCTCACCAACTCCACAGTTTCTCCTAGGCCTTGTCTGCAGGCCATACCTCACCAGGTCTCCCCTTGGTGTGATGCGGTCCTAGAGGTTCCCTTGGCAGGGTCGCTGCCTGGGCTGGGCACATGGCCCCGCCTTTGGAGGATGGTTGCGCTCAAGCACGTTGATCTGCCCTTAAAGGCACACACATCTCAGTAGGCAGTTCACGTATATCCCTTCTGTGCCCCGTGCAATGTGAGACCTGTGTGCACAGGGTGTGGTCTGACCTCTGGGCCCCAGAATTAATCCCTGACCCCTTCAGGGAGAGGAGTGCCAGTCCTCATTCACCCACAGGAGACCAAGCTGGGTTGATGTCTATCAGCCTCAGGGTCTGCCCTGTTCTCCTAGGATCACGGGGCCAGCATCACCTCGGAGGGCTGGCGGGTAGGGAGCTCACCGTCTGAGTATCCCTTAGTCAGCTGTAGGGCCCCAAAAGTGAAGGTCCCGTTCCTTGGCAATACCTCCAACTGGTGGCTATATTTTCTCTCTTGACATCTGTGGATAGGGATGGGGGAGGAGAGAATGGAGCAACACAGCGCCTGCCGCGCAGCTTGGGTCTGTGCACAGGGAGGTGCTCTGAGGGTGTTGGGAGCCTGGTGCGGCGTCCGCTTCAGGCTTACTGCTCGCTAATTGTGGTTGTCTCTGGGCTGGTGTCCACAGGTCTTTCCACCCACTGGGGAGCCCACCAGCAGTCTGAGATGCAAGGGAAGGGAAAGTTAACCGTGCCACCCACCCTTGCCGCTGGTCTCCAAGCTTCTTGGAAGGCCTCTGCTTCCAGTTTTCCTCTGCAAACTCCTCCCGTTATTTCCAGTACCCCTGCTTCCGACCCTCAACCCATGTATACTTGTGTGCTTGCTTCTTCTGATTTCTTCTAGAAACTGTCTTTTTTGCAGAGACACTCTTTCTGGCGATGTTTCTTATCTGCCATCTTGCTCTGCCCATACATTTTTTTACTATAAAAATAAGAATTAAAAAATTTTACTATTGTTAGTACATATGTATAACTCATAAGTATATATTAATTATGTTATCAACATTTTTATTGAGTACCTGCAAAGTATAAAGTTAGATCCAAAATATGCATCTTTTATATTTGTTTGTTTTAAGCTCTTTGTAGTAAGCATGATAACAATTATTTTCCATGAGTATTTGCTATGTCACCTAATTCTGAACTGTTCAGACTGAACAGAAATGTACTGTTGTAGGCATCAGTGTCATTTGAGGACGTTACTGTGGAAGTCACCCAGGAGGAGTGGCAACAAATGGTCCCTGCTCAGAGGAATCTGTACAGAGATGTGATGCTGGAGAACTACAGCCACCTCGTCTCAGTGGGTGAGCATATAAGCATAACTTACCCTTGTACCTCCATATAGAAAGCATTTCCTTGTTAAGCACCGAAACACATGAACACTTTATATAAAGTTTAATGTTATTTAGGCGTTTCATTCAAGTCTAAAGTAACCAAGCCCTTTTGAGGACTAGGATGAATGTTTTGTCAACTGCCAGTGATAAATTCAAATGAGCACCTTCAGGATGCTGCTGTATCTTTGTCCTGTTTTGTAGACCATAAAGCTCATATATCTGGCCTAAGTCCTCAATTGTTTCCTATTTACAGGGTACTGTGTTTTCAAACCAGAAGTAATCTTCAGGTTGGAGCAAGGAGAAGAGCCTTGGTTCTCAGAGGAGGAATTCCCAAACCAGAGTCACCCAGGTGAGTCACTTAGTACTAATAGACTGAATTCTACAAGGGTAGTTAGACTTCAGAAGGTCAGTTTAGGAGCGAACAACTTTATGTTACAAGACTTTTCTAAGTAAGCTCAAAAGCACAAAAAACACTAGTCAAAAGAAAATGACTAATAAACTTGACTCCATTAAAAGTAAGCACTTTGTTTATAAGAGATACCATTAAAAGAGTGGAAAAGAAAAGCCACAGAGTGGCACAATATGTAGATACTACAAGTATAACCTAGAAAGGCTAAGCTTCCTAAAAATGTAAAGAACTTTTGCAAATCAATATGGGAAAAGGTAGGCAACCCAACTGAAAAATTGACAAAAGACTTTGAACAAGAAACTTTCAAAATGGCCAGTAAATCTTTGAAAATGTTTTCAATCTCATTAGCTTTCATGGCATACAAAATAAAATAGAAAGTGAGGTATGAAGTAAAATGAAAGATCTGGTATGAAGTGAGATTAACAAATCTGGCAATGGTAAGTCATGGTGAGGATGTGGAATATCAGAGACCCTTATCCACTAACTGGAAACATGGAAAATACCACTAACTAGTAAAACCACTGTGATGTCAGGAGGGTTTTCTAATAAAGGTAATGTTTTGCATACAGAGTAACCAAGGAGTTCCTTTTCTAACCATATTCCCTGCAAGAAGTTAAGATTTTATTCTCTAGAATGCGTAAAAGAGTATTTATTGCAATATTTGCCAAAAATTGGGCTCATCAGCAGAATGGAGAAATAGTTGTATTCTTTAAGGGAGAATTATACAGCTGCATAAAAGCTTATACAGTGCTTACAAACATACTGTTAAGCAAAAGAAAACAAAAGATACAATATGCATACATGGTTACATTTATGTAAAAGTCAGAAACAGGCAAAATTCAATTACATTTTTAGGAATTCAAATATTGGTGGTAAAATAAAGAAAACCAAGGAAATGATTGCTTAAATATGAGGAGAGTGGTGAACTCTAAGAATAAAGAAGTTATAACCTGGTAGGGATAAATAAGGATTTTTGTAGTCATTTGTGTTCTGTTTTTTAACATGGTTTCTGATTCCATGAATGTTCACTGAGTACTCTCAAGTTGCACATGAAAGTTTTATACAAATATGTATTGCTTCATACTTAAAATGTTAAGCAGTAAGCTACAAGTGGCAGATAATATTTGCAGTATAACCTGTAAAAAGGCATTTTAGAATGCTTAAAGAATGCAGGTATTTCTTAAATATCATCTTTGCAGTAAGGCCTTCCATGATACCCCATTTAAAATTGTACTCCTTGTGTCAGATTGAAATGTGGAAACTTAGGATGGGATGATCAAGTTCACTTATCATTTAGTTCTGATAGAATAAATCAAAGGTAGGACAGCCAAAATAGAGCAGTGAATCTAATTTATTTGAAAGAATGGATTTTCTTTTCATCAGTTTTATACTTCTTTGTATTTCTGTGAATCACAGCTATAAGATAGGTTAGCACCTGAACTATAAACTTCTCGTTTATTCATAAGGAATTTGGTGCTGTTATAAATTTAATTTGATGTTGAAGAATTGATGAGGGATATAAAATTGGAAGAATGTAGTCAATTGAGCATTCTAACCATTATAATCTAGATAATGTCAGGATCTAGATGGTAATTTAGTCCCTTAAACCAAACACTTTCCCTATTGGGCCTATTCCATGAAAGCTATTATCTCCTAATGTTTCTTGTTATTCTACAGTCTTTGTTGCATTCATCCTATTCTCCAATTTTCCTGCTCCCTGAAATAACCACTCTTATAAAACTATAATTTTTATTTTCCTTTTCTTTCTTTTATCCACCTGGATACCAAAATCTTACTGTTCACATGCCAAATACAGATATATATTTATTATCAGTTTCCTTTGCCATTTGCACTACATTAATAATGTTTTTTAAAAGAGAGAGGTTGGAGTCATATATATTCAAACACATATATATGAATGATTTAATCCTGATAAACCAAAGAACAAAGTGCAACATAGGCTATGTGACTATAAGCCCCACCAGTAAGAGATATAAGATTAATAAGATGTTTTCAATTTTTCTCAGTTTTAAAATATTACAGAGATGATGATCTGAACAAGAAGAACAAGAAAATCAAAGAAAAACACTTGCAGCAAGTAATACTCACCAAAAATAAAACATTGACTAAAGAGGAAGACGAAATTTTGGGAAAACCTTTTAATCTGCAGATAGCTCCTGTTTCTTCAACAAAAATATCCTGCAAATGTGACTCATGGGGAGTAAACTTGCGAACTATTTCGGAATTTATCATTAATAATAGAAAGCATTCAGCAAAGAAACTAGGTTGCCATAATGTATGTGAGAATTTGCCTTTCAACATTAAGTTTGAGAAAACTCAGACTGGAGAGAAATTTTATGAATATAGTAAAAAAATGAAAGCTCTCAGTTATAATGAAAATCTTCCTGAGCATCAGAAATTTCAAACTTTGGAGCAAACTTTTGAATGTAATGAAATTGAAAAAGCCTTTGATGGTAAGGCCAACTATGTTATACATAAGAATTCTCACACAGGAGAAAAATCCTGTAAAGATGATGAATTTAGGAAAAACTGTGATAAGACAATTCTTTTTGACCACAGGAGAACTTGCACAGGGGAGAAATACTCTCATCTTAACCAAAATGGGAAATCCTTTCAGAAGTCAACTCTGAAAGCATACAATAAATTTAACATACCTGTGACACATTATGAATGTAATACAAGTGGAAATAATTTCAATGGGAAATCATACCTCACTCATCCTCAGAAAACTGTCACAGGAGAGACTCCATTGGTATGTACTGACAGAACAGAAACTGGGAATAAGTCTTTTGAATGTCATGATAAGAAATCCTACCAAACATCAGTCCACAAAGTACGCCAGAGAACTCACTCAGAGGTAAAACCCTATAAATGTAATGAATGTGGAAAATCTTTCTGTCAGAAAGGACATCTCATTCAACATCAGAGAACTCACACAGGAGAGAAACCATTTGAATGTAATGAATGTGGAAAAACTTTCTCCCAGAAGTCACACCTCAGTACACACCAGAGAATTCACACAGCAGAGAAACCCTATAAATGTAATGAATGTGGGAAGACATTTGTCCAGAAGTCAACTCTCAGGGGACATCAGAGAATTCACACAGGAGAGAAACCCTATGAATGTAGTGAATGTGGAAAAACTTTTGTTCAGAAGTCAACCCTGAGAGATCACCATAGAATTCATACAGGGGAGAAATCCTTTCAATGTAGTGAATGTGGAAAAACTTTTGGCCAGAAGTCAAACCTCAGAATACATCAGAGAACTCACAGTGGAGAGAAAACTTATCAATGCAATGAATGTGAAAAATCTTTCTGGCGAAAAGACCATCTCATTCAACATCAGAAAACCCACACGGGAGAGAAACCATTTAAATGTAATGAATGTGAGAAAACTTTTGCCCGGACATCAACCCTCAGAGTGCATCAGAGAATTCACACTGGGGAGAAACCATTTAAATGTAACGAATGTGGGAAAAAATTTGTCCGTAAGGCAATCCTTAGCGATCATCAGAGAATTCATACAGGAGAGAAACCCTTTCAATGTAATAAATGTGGGAAAACTTTTGGCCAGAAATCAAACCTTAGAATACATCAGATAACTCACAGTAGGGAGAAATGAACGTAATGAATATGGGAAGTTATATAAGAAGTCATCACTAAATGTATGTCAGAGAATTCAGGTAGGGAGGGAAAGCCTTATTGATATAATAACTGTTGAAAATCCTCTGACAAAAAGAATACCCTGTATAATATCAGAGATACAAGAAAAACCAGCTGAAGGTAGCGTAAGAAGACAGTCCCAGAAATCAACCCTCACAGTACATCAGAGAATTCACAAAAGAGAGAAACCATAAGAATATGACTGTAGGAAAATTATTGTCCAAAAGGCAAAGAGTACATCAAAGAATTCACACAGGCTTCTGTTTCAAGGAACTATGCAAAGTCCTTCTGAATGAAGTCATACCCTATTAGATAACCTGACATATCACACAAGTTGGTAATTTGTTTACCAGAAACAATTTCATTTTTCCTGTGGGCACATACCTGGTATAAATCCCAATCTTCCTTTCATCTAAGTGGATCTTTGTGAGTGGCTACTGGAATGTGGATGCCTATGATGTATACCATATCCAGTTCTGTAAAATAAAAAACTTCCCTGACAAACTACCAGAATAAAATGGTTATGATTTCTAGGATGACCTTAGGTGCCATGCTTTGTTTAACATGAGTGTAGAGGAGACATAGATTTAGCCAATGAGGTTTGGCTGGGGTTCACAGTAAGGAAGAGAAACAAATATAACCTTATGGATGAGGCCCTTTTTGTTACTTTTACATCTGAAAGTATAGTAGGAATTAATATTATGCTGTAATCCACCTTAAGTCATAGAGGGAACTCTCCCAGTCAGGAAGAGTTACATATAAAGAAGATAACTTTAATGTCCCACAGCCCTGATGATCATTTTGGGCTTCAAATCTCTGATTGGTGATTTTGTTGATTGAGCCTTCTGGCAAACAGAGGCAGGCTGAAGTTAGCCGTCCTGGGGTCATATTGGCTGAGACCCCAAGTCAGCAGAATGGGAGCCCATTGCTTGTTCCCACAATTAGCAGGACGTGGCTTGTTGACCGGCTGAAGGAACGGTTTCTTCAGGCAAATGGCCAAGGACCTGTGGCCTCACATGTGAGCCAAGGTTGCCTGGTAACCAGCATGCAGTGCTAGGCACTGCAAGATGGCCAAGGACTCATGGTCTCGCACTTGCACTCCAGCCAAGATTATCTGAAAACAGTGTCCAACATCAAAGACGCCTCTTGTAGAAGGGCATGCTCTTTGCTTTGACTGGAAAAGCAGGTGTTGATGGCCGTGGGAAGTCATGTACCAAAAAGTAGCTGGCATGAAAAAATAGCTGCAGGACGCTTGCCCAATTAAATTGTATGTAAATAAATGACTGGCACATTTTTGTGCTGCAGTCTGAAACCGTCTCTTGTCTCTGTGTCCTTTATTTTTCCAGGACTGCAGCCAATTCTGTCTGTCTGCATTTTATGTATATGTTCTGTGTGTTATCCCCTGTCCTGTATTCAGGCCACGACACAGTCCTTGTTAGTGTAGGAAGGGAGGCTTGACTTGATAGCCTGGCAAGGTTGCCAGGTTCACTCCTTTTGAAAAGCAGCTATTAATTTACTCTTGGGCTCTTTTATACACTAGACACCTCTGATCTGAGTAGAGGCCTCTGGCCTAAAATTTCAGTTAGGGGGTGTGTCATCTCAGATACAACAGCTAACAAAATGAGAAGGACTCAACAAGCCTCACTGGTGAAATGAAGATGGTATGTTCAAGATGGCAGAGTGAAGCTATTCCGGGGCCAGGAATAGCATGAAATAGTAGTATAACAGCTATCCCTTACAAGGGAAATGTATCCCCCACTTTGCTGCCTTGAGCAAAGCTCCTGGCTTAGTAGAGTCTTCGGTTCGTACAGGTGACTCTCATTGGGCCTGCTTCACTGATAGTTCAGCTAGCTGAAACCACTAGGATGCTGTGACTGCTCAAACTCAGTGCCATTATGCAGACCCAAAAATGAAAGTGGTCACTCCTCTTAGTGGACAAAACACATGTATGTTCTCAGCCCTGGCCAATACTCCATGTGATGAACCTTGCTATATTTGTATTCGTCTGTGGGCTCACACTGTGATCTAGCTATTTGACATTCTGGTCAAAAAATGCTAGACAGGTGTAAAACGACTCCTCTTTAGTGGGGAAAAGATCATAGTGTGATAGAAATATAAGTAATCTATTGCTGAAAATAAAAGTTTATTAACCACTTCAGTGCTGTGCTCACCGGCCACGAAACCTTGCCCACAGCCGGCACTCATAGTCCACACGATAGTCTGTGCTGTGCATTGACGATGATTCCGTTTTGCTCTTGTGTGATGAGGAAAGCTTGAAAGCACTAAAAGCTTGTTTTACTTTACAGGCAGCTTTACTTGTGATGTAAATCAGAATAGGTAACATATACATATATGCTTTCATTACGTTATTTTTAAGTGTTCACAATTTTATTTTGATAAATGAAAATTTAGAAAAGTCATATCACGGCTGTCAGCTAAAGTCGTGCACGTTCATCTATGGCTGTCGACTAGAGTCGAAGCTGGTACCAAAGTGGTTAAAAGGTACGAATAAATAAGAACCAAGAACTTTTGTCTAGCCCAAGATCCCAAAGATTTGCTTCTAGGGTTTTTACTCCTGAAAGGTTTGTAGTATTACATTTTATATTTAAGTGGGATCCATTTGGGGTTAATTCATGTATACGAGGTGAGGTTTAGGTTGAGATTCTTAACTCTCGATGACAGAGGCATCCCAGGGAGACCCCAGCCAGCCTGCACAGGTGCCCCAGCTGCAGGTGCCACTCACTCTCTGCGTGCTCCCAGGAGAGTTTTTAACGGTGTCTGCCCTCGGGCCTGCGTGGGAAGGGACGCATCGTAAGGTGCGCACGCGCACTTGTGCTCAACAGCTTTCCTGCCCTTGCCTGGTCTGAGGTCGGGAGCTGTGAATTTCCTGGTTGGAGGTTGGCTTTCTGCTACTGGGCTCAGAGTCGGTGAAAACAGTACATGAGGAGGTGGTGAAAAGCCAGGGGGAGCTGAGGTGTCTCTCAAGCTGGCATGATGGCCTCTGCCATGAAGAAGATTTCAGTGAAATTAGTGCAGTCATTTTATCCTTTTTCTCCTTTATTTTTTAAACAGTAAAAATTATTTCAGGGTGCAGGTCTGTGAGTTTTAAGACAGGTATAGACTGTGTAAGCATCACCACAGTTAGCATGCAGAGAAGTTCCATGCTCCCCAGGAACCTCCCAGTCCTGTCCCTTTATATTCACACCCTCCCCACCCCAACTCTTCAGCCACCTCTACCCTTCGGAGCAGCTACACCCATCACCTGGCGATGAGGACAGGGGACAGCGGTCCTGAGTGTGAGCCCCACAGAGCGGGTGTTCGGGGTGGGCTCTGGACTGGTTGGTTCGTTATGAAAGGCAGACTTGGAGGAGGCCTTTGCTGGAAATGGGCCAGCCCTGGGAGGGGCAATCTCTCCAGGGTCAGCAAGACCCCACCTGTCCAAGCATCAGGAAATACCGAAAATAAGAAACACGATGAATACCTAAGCATGTACCACATTTGGTTTATCCATTCATCCCTCCATGAGCTCTTGGCCTCTTTCTGCCTCTGGATTATGGCAAATAATACTGCTATCAGCATTGACACACATGTTTCTGTCTGAGTCCTAAGCAGCAATCCTAGATGTTTTTAAAGTGCAGTTAGAACCTAATTTTTTTTTCCAGAATTGAGGAAGGAGCACCAAAATCAAGGGTTGAAACACAAAATAGTCTCAACTCAATGAATATGTTTAGTGCTACGTTCTCACCCCTGCCCATATTAGCCCACATTTCTGGCCAAAAGAACCATAAACCCTGTTTCTAGATTGCGGGCCACCACCCAGCCCTCTTCTTTTTCCTGCAATGGAAAATGACCCGGGTCCTGTGGCATAATTCTGATTAGGGACAGGTGCAGTTGCTTTCAGAGCCCTTTTCCAACACATAGAATTATTCACAAGCCAAAATATTGGGGAACTGTGACCTCAAGAGTCCAGGTCCCCATTTGCTCTGTGGCTGACCCTGCATGGCTGCACCCAAACACCAGCACATGGATCCTCCATCTACAAGGCAAAGGCCAGCACCCAACTTGCCCTCCTTGGCTTGATTAAGCCAGTGATGGACACTACATCATCAAAAGTCAGAGCAATGAAGACATAAATAACTGACGTCTTCCAAGGAAAGAAAATGTTCATTATTAGAACCCTGAATGGCCAGTTTTTCAGACTTTTCATTGCATTCTTCCTCAGATTATTTGAAAAAGAAGCCAATATGTATAACAATGCATGTGATAACCATCTTCTAGAATTGGAGATGAAAGCCACTTCTGACTTGGAGTCGGGGCTCTCACTCGCACACACATGTATGCACACACACACATGCACATGCACACACACACATGCACGTGCACACATACACATGCACGTGCACACACACACATGCACGTGCACACATACACATGCACGTGCACACACACACATGCACGTGCACACATACACAGCTGAAATCGCGCAGGGCAGAGGTCAGCAGGAAGCCTTTCCTCCTCCAAGCTCAGACTGCTAACCATGACTCCTGGGAACTTCTCTAGTGGCTCAGATAGAATGGGAGAAAGGATGTGGGTGCTGCCTTGGAGATGAGTGAGGAAAACTGGAAGGGAAGGAAGGGCCTGGCAGAGTCCTCGAGCCCACGGGAGGGCGATGCGCGAGCACCTGCTCTCCCGCGTGGCCTCGGTGGGCTCGTGTCCAAGGAGTTGCGCAGGTTTCTCTTTCTCTCCGGCTGTCTACAGCCCTTACTTAGACTTGAAACGCACGGGGTTGGGGTTTCCCCCTATTCCCAGCGCTTGCCACCAAGAACAGCACAGGAGAAAGCCAAGCCTGATACTCTAAGACACTGAACTAGTTTGAGGAGCATGGGTCTTGGTAAAATTTTCATTCATATTTTCAGCTGCTTGGTTTCAATCTCCATAATGCCTGACATCACGGGGCGAAACAGAAAGGCCCTTCACTCATTCACTGCAAGCGTTGGTGGAATGTCGGCTGCAGGCTGAGCACCGCTGCAGGTCGTCGGGAATCGTCAGTGAGCAAGACAGAAAAGGATTCTGCTCTCACGGAGCTTCCGGGCTGGGAAACAGGAGCGCAGTCCCATGATGGGATTTCGGGGAGAATGATGACACGGGAGGCGCACACACGTGCAGGGAGGCGGGACCCCCGTGTGGCCTGCAGGGCGGTGTGCACGCTCCCCGCAGGCAAAACCCCAAAAGGAG